CCACCTCTAAGCGAATCAGAGGATAAACTTCGGCTTGGGACCGTTGTGCCTGATGGGCGGACAGGGGGCAGTGTAGGCACAATGCGGTTACCGACGTACAACTCGCAACCGACATCGCAGCACAGCAATGCGGAGTTGAATCCCCTTGCGCTAAACCCATTATTTTGCATCCCCCTCCCCTCCGCTTCATCCCCCCGGTGGCGGAGACTCCGACAGGTTTGGCCGTAATCTACTGAGAGTGCCTACTGACCGAACAGCCAGCCCCCCCCCCCTCTCCCCCCTCCCTCCCCCTTCTCGCCCCTCCCCTCCCCTCCCTTCCGCTCGGCAGTTCGGCCGCGGGCGATTCCCACACCTGCTGACAGCATTAGGCCTGATTGAAATTGTAAAAGGGGAGACACTGCATAAGCAGGCCGCGTCACCCACACCGGCAGACCCCCCCCCCCCCACCCAATGCCCTATAATCCAGACTCTCCCCTTCCCCCTCCCCTACACTTCCATCCCCCTCCTCCTCCATCTCCCCCTGACACTCCCAGCAGACTGATTCCGAGAGTCGTTTTCGTCGCTCTGTCTCTCTCGCACTCATGGGGCGTCGCGCTTAGGCGCGAAAGAGACAGAGCGACGGAAACGACTCCCGGCATCAGTCTGCAGGGAAGGACGAGGCATGGACGAGGACGCGCGTTGGAGCCAATCAAGTTAACGTCCATTCGGCGAGTCGAACCAGCCAGTCCTACAATGATAACCGGTGACTGCAAGAATTGGTTTCAACGTGTGGAGCCCCCCCTCCTCTTTTGAGGAGTTCCACCCCTCCCTTTTTGTGGGGGTTCCAACCCCTCCCCTCTTTTTGGGACCTCCACGCCCTCCCTTCCTTGGGGGTTCCACCTCTCCCCTCTATTTGGGGGTTCCATACGGCCTCCCCTCTTTTGGGGGTTCCATACCCCCTCTCCTCATTCTGGGGGTTCCATACCCCATCCCCTCCTTTTGGGGGTTTCATACCCCCTCCCCTCCTTTTGGAGGTTCAATACCCCCTCCCCTCTTTTTTGGGGTTCTATACCCTCTTCCCTTATTTTGCGGGTACCATACCCCCTCCCCTCTTTTGGAGGGTGACGCCCCTCTTTTCGGGATTCACTTTGGGGGTTCCACCCGCCCCCCTTTTGTGGGGATCCATCCCCCTCCTTTTGGGGGCTCCGCCCCCCTCTTTTCGCCCCCCTCTTTTCGCCCCCTCCCCCTCTTCTCGAGGCTCTGATTAGAAAGCAGCGCGTTGCTGCGCGTTGCGCCCTCGAGGCGCTTAATGACACGAATTAAGCGGACTAGCCGAGCAGCAGTCTGATTCCACGCCGCGGCGTCGCGTCGCTCTGTCTCTCTCGCACTCACGGGGCGTCCCGGAGGCCCGCAGGGGTGCGAGAGAGGCAGAGCGACGGCCCGCGGAGCCACGCGGACGAGACTCGTCGCCATGCCGACCGAACTTCAAACTCGGCCATTGTGCGCGAGTCGCCGAGTCGCTCGAGCCGCCAATGTATTCTCTGGACATTCTTGTTCCTCCAAGACGCAAGACGGTGAAAAGCGGGGCAAAAGGCAAAAAAGTTGGGTTCGTGCAAGTGGAAATGATCTGACTAGCGGACAACTTTCAGCCCACGAACATCGAGTTGAGGTCGGCCGCGCCGTGTCGAGCCGTCCTCCCTCTCTCTCTCTCTCTCTCTCTCTCTCTCTCTCTCTCTCTCTCTCTCTCTCTCTCTCTCTCTCTCTCTCTCTCTCTCTCTCTCTCTCTCGCCACGTGTCCCGACGTGGCAATGCCTCCCAGCAATTAGACCGCAGACAGGCACAGAGGGACGGACGGACAGGGACGACAGGCAGACGGACGGACAGTGGGCCACAGCGGCTAGCGCGGGCTAGCGCCTGCGAACCAGCGCATAGGCCACCCCACCGCTGCCCTGGCGGCCGGGCGGCCTACCCTGGCTTCCACAGGCGTCCGCCCGGTCCGCACTCCTTTCCTTTTATCTCTGCCTCTTCTCTCTTCTTCTTCTCCCTTCCTTCTGGTTCACGTCCTCCTCTTCCTCATCCTCCTAGTTCTTATCCTCTTCGTCCTCGTCGTCCTCCTCCTCGTCGTCGTCATTCTCCTCCTCCTCGTCGTCCTCCTCGTCCTCCTCGTCGTCCTCCTCGTCGTCCTCCTCGTCGTCCTCCTCGTCGTCCTCCTCGTCGTCCTTTTCGTCTTCCTCTTCGTCCTCCTCCTCGTCCTCCTCGTCCTCGTCCTCCTCGTCCTCGTCCTCCTCGTCCTCGTCCTCCTCGTCCTCGTCCTCCTCGTCCTCGTCCTCCTCGTCCTCGTCCTCCTCGTCCTCGTCCTCCTCGTCCTCGTCCTCCTCGTCCTCGTCCTCCTCGTCCTCGTCCTCCTCGTCCTCGTCGTCCTCGTCCTCCTCGTCCTCGTCGTCCTCGTCCTCGTCCTCGTCCTCCTCGTCCTCGTCCTCCTCGTCCTCGTCCTCGTCCTCCTCGTCCTCGTCCTCCTCGTCCTCTCTCTCCGCTACTGCTCTCCTTCCTCCCCTTCCTTACCCTCCCCTTCCAATCCCTCTGCCCCTCCTCCTGCCCCTTTTTCACGCGGCCCTTCGTCACTGCAAGGACCCTAATTGAGGGACGCGCAGCATGAAAGCGCGACGCGCCGTGCGGCTCACGGTGTAGGCGCACGGCGTGAGGCACGGCGTGACCCGCGCAGTCATTTGTTTCTGTTTGGTGACTGGCTGCCTGCCTGCCTGGCTGGCTGGGCGCGTCGGGCGACCGTCCCGGTAAAAGGTCCGCGGTGCCAGAGGGCTCTTTGTACACACCGCCGCAAAAAGCCGCGCTCCGCCAAACAGCGGGTGTCGCGCTGACGTCTGTTCAAAGGGCGGCGGCAGGGGCCCGGATGGAAAAACGGCAAAACGATGCATCCGGTCAGCAATGGCCGATCTACATAGCGCTTGGGTACAAAGTCCGATCTACAGAGCGCTCGTCTACAATGACTGATCTACATAGAACCATTTTGAAAAGACCGATCTGTTTTTCAAAGCTATTTTTTCCCTCTCTGTCAAAGTTAAAATACAACGTCCAAAATTTTGTTTTTAAACCCTTTTTATCGAAGTATGCTTAGCATATTTTCTAATACAGAATGTTCCGAAATTTTACAAGTCGTACTTTAGGATTGACAGAGGTAGCAATAAAGCTTTGAAATACAGATCGGTCTTTTCAAAATGGTTCCGTGTAGATCGGTCATTGTAGACGAGCGCTCTGTAGATCGGACTTTGTACCCAAGCGCTCTGTAGATCAGCCATTGCTGACCGGATGCATCGAAAATGCGACGCCGGAAAAAGCACTCGTTTGCCAACTTTTTATCTGTGACGTCAGAGTGACGGTCTCTCTACCTTTCGCGGCGCGAGTTTCAATAATACAAGACGAACGGACCGCGCTGTGCGCTTTTGCAGTGGGTCAGAAGACCGGCGCGAGCGGCTGAAACTCTCGACGCGTTTTGAGCTGCTGAGTCGCCAATCAGGACTCGAACCGAACCAACCGAACGTGTGACCCCACCAATGGATTCCTCGTTTGGAGAGCAATCCATTGGTGGGGTCACACGTTCGATTCGAGTGCCTTTTAGCGACTCTGGAGCTCAAAACGCGTCCGGGATTTTGGCCGGCTCCACTGGTCTTCTGGCCCACTGTGCGCCCGCCCCTCCCACCAAAACTTGAGTTCCGCTGCGAGCCAAGGCGGAGCCAAGGCGGCCACGGTCGGACACCAGCTGCCCGCGGCTGGGCAAAGATTTCGCCAACCTGAGCCAACAAGAAAACCTCCTTTGCACTTTGCCTCGGTCACTTTCATTATTATGACCTTTTTTGTCAGGAAACATATTAGACCAACTTTTTTCTCTCCTTTCCTTCTGGAGCAAAGTTTGCTGAGAAAACAGTTAGAAGGGGACCGTCACATGCCCGGCTACGGACCCACCCACCGCCGGTGGCCAGCAGTTTCACCGTGCCGTGCCGTGTCGCCGTGCTATGCTGCGTGGTGCCGTGCCGTGCCGTGCCATGCCGTGCCGTGCCGCGCCGACTCGCACACGCGGCGCTGTGCCGAGCTAACCGGCTTTAAGCTCGAACGCAGAATCCAGCACCATTCCGCTCACCCGTGGTGCCTGCTGGTCCGTACGAAAGCGCAGCGCGCACCAACCCCCGTCCCCTTTTCACCTTCTCGCTCTCTCTCGCTCCCTCTCTTGCTCTCTCTCTCGCTCTCTCTCTTTCTCGCTCTCTCTCTTTCTCGCTCTCTCTCTCTCTCTCTCTCTCTCTCTCTCTCTCTCTCTCTCTCTCTCTCCTCTCTCTCTCTCTCTCTCTCTCTCTCTGCGTGGCACGTGACATACACTGCTCTGGTTTCACACCGGCACCCTTCTCATTACCTCTTCCCCACCCCCTCCCCCTCGAGTCCCAGTTTCCCTTGGTTATTCGTTCCTTTCCACTACCTCTCCCTTTCACTGCTTGGAATCCGCAGAGAAAATTACGGTACGTTTACGGAGAAGATTGACACAAGGTATGGAAAATGTTGGGTTCTGGGTATGGAGAATTATCACTGATTTACAGAGTTTTCCATTTTTTGCCACAGTGTGTCTCTGTCTGTCTGTCTGTCTGCCTGCCTGTCTGCCCGTCTGTCTGTCCGTCTGCCTCTCTCTCTCCCTCTCTTTCTTCCCCCACCCCCTCTCTCCCCTCCTCCTCCTCGCGGTGTGGGATTCATTTCCTTTCGTTTTTATGTTGGTGCTGCCAAAGTTTTGAATGACCGCGGCGTTCGGGTGCCGTCGGGTTTAATGAGAAACGGCCCTGCGCTGCGTTGCCCTCACTTTCGCTCTCTCGCGATAAAAGAAGAGAGAAGAAGACAGTCAGACAGACAGACAGACAGACAGACAGACAGACAGACAGACAAACAGACAGACAGACAGACAGACAATTTCAATTCAATTCAATTCAATTCGTATTTATTAAGAAAAACTTAAACAAGGCACTTACAGATAGAAACATTAACATAGTAATAAACTGCCTAAAAATAGAAAAAGACAACCCCTAAGCATGACTGCTTGTCAGGGGTGGATTTACTGTCTTTCTGTCATAACAAACAATAAAAACAAACAAACAAAAATCTTTTACAAACAAAAAAGTCTTTTACAATTTAAACTCCACCTTTCTTTTTGTTATTTAGATTTTTCAATTGTTTGTACTTAAAAAATATTGTTTTAATTTTGTTTTCATGGCACTTTGACTATTTATATTCCTTAAATCTATTGGCATCTTATTTAGTATTTTTGGCACGACCACCTCTGTCAGTCTATCACCATACTTATTCATACCTATCTTATATTGGAAACTCTCATTTCTTGTTAAGTATCTATGTTGTACTATATTTCTAAACTCTTTCTTAAAATAATTTCTTTTTAAAACTTTTAATTTGTACAAATTCTCTAATGTTAAAATAGTATTTGGTAATGGAACTCTTTGCTTTTTCTTCACAATCTTTACAGCTCTCTGCTGTAATGATTTAATGGGGAGCAAGTTTGTATCCGAGGCAGATCCCCACACTTCAAGCCCATAACTCATGACTGATTCAAAGAGGGCTGTATAAGCCATGTTTACTATGTTATGTGGGGAGCAGTTACTTAATTGTGATAATTTATACAGGCAACACCTCAACTTCCCTCTTAGCATTTTAACATGGCTTTTCCAGTTTAGGTGTTTATCAACTATCAACCCTAAATACTTCACTGACTCCACCATTTCAATATTCATTTTGCAGGTGCAATTTGCAATATTACTGTGTATACACTCAATAGAATGAAATCTTAGGTTAAGATCTCTTCTTGCAATATAAGGAGTGGATATATGCATTACTTTAGTCTTTGTTCCATTCATTATGAGATTCTTATCATGACACCATTTTTGGTACTCAGTAAACTCCTCCTGCAGTCTTGCCTCAGCTATATCTAAGTTTTTGTGTACAGAAATTATAACAGTATCATCTGCATACACAAAATATTTACATTTTTTAAAACACCTTTTTAGATCGTTTATATAAATCAAGTACAGCAGGGGACCAAGAAAACTGCCTTGTGGTACACCATACTTAAGTTTTACACAGCAGCTGTCAACTCCTGCCACACTTACCTTACACATTCTGTTTTCCAGATAACTTTTAAACAGTTTGTACGCTTCTCCTCTCACCCCAATATTTTCTAAGCTTTTCAATAATTTTTCATGACTAATGGAATCAAAAGCCTTAGACAAATCCACAAACATTACAACAACATGCATACCTTTATCCAAGGACTCATTTACTATGTCAGAGAAATTTTGTAACAGATCAATGGTACTCTTTCCCTTCTGATACGCATATTGGTGTTCATCAATCACTTTGTACTTTTTGAGGTATGAGAATAAATGTGTATACATATATAGCTCAATTGCCTTGCTTATAGTTGATAAAATGGAGACTGGTCTATAATTACTATATTCACAGGGTGATCCAGTTTTATAAATAGGCCTGATTGTGGCAATTTTGATTTCATCGCAGAAAATTCCTTTTTTTATTGAGTTATTGATTATGTTTTGTAATATTGGAGCAACTAGTTCGATATTGTCACTTAGGTGTGATACCTTAATTCCATCATCACCAGGAGATTTTTCTTTTAAAGTCAGAATAATTTTTATCACATCCTCTATTGTTGCTTCTGGTAAAAAGAAAGAGTTGGTTATTCTGTCAGTTGCATTCTTCAGCAAGAGTGTCGGACATTCATGCATAATACACTCAACCTGATCTTTGAAAGTATTGACAAAGTTATTGGCAACCGTTTCTATTTCTAAGATACCCGCAAAATTTTTTGTAATTATGTTGTCAATATTTTCACTCACTTTGTTATTTAATACAGAGTTTACCAGTTTCCAAGTAGCCTTAATATCATTTTTACATTTTTCAAATTGCTCCTCCATATATCTTTCCTTGCTTCTTTTAATAGAGTAAATTATTTTATTTCTGAGACCCTGATAAACTTGTCTCAGCTCCAGTCTTTTTAAGTAGCTTTCTTTCGAGGACACTTTCCATCTTTTGAAGGCTTTATCTCTCTCATGCATTAAGCGAACAATCTCATCAGTTATCCAAGGTTTTCTTACATGTCCATTTACTTTTCTCTCCTTCATTTTAACCCTTATGGTAGCAGACGAAAATGCCTCTCTAAGTTCTAAATAATTTTCACTTGGACTTTCCGTCATATTATTTTTGACACTATTTAAGTTTTCCTTCCACCTCTTTTTTACAAGTATGTTCTTCATTTTGTTTTCACTTTTTCCATCTTCCTCACATTTATTTTTATTATTCTGAAAAGAGAGCAGAGCTCCTACCATATAGTGATCACTATTTTACATTTTATTATTGCAGGATACACATTTTTATAGTTAACACTTACCGCAATATGATCAATACAGGTTTCACTTAAATGGTTTCCAGCATATTCCTCTCTGGTACATTTGTTAATACAGTGCCTGATTTTATTACTTAATAACATATCTATATAATCACTTGTGATTTTACCTTCCTGCAGAATATTAATATTTATGTCTCCTATTATTACAGTATTTTTCCACTTTTCCGCTTGCAGTAGATCATCTATTTCATCCACAAAGTCCGCTGTCTTACCATAGGGGGGTCTATACACAGCCAATATTGTTGCTTGTCGTCCTCTCCCATCACATACTTCCACACAAATTCCCTCAAAATTTTTCGGGGTTACACTGATTTGTCTAGAAGAGAGAGTGTCTCTTACAAACACCGATAGACCACCACCTTCACAATTACTTCTGATAACATTTATACTGCTAAAGTGATGTAGCACATACTTTTCAAAACTATTTCTTATTCTAGTCTCACTAAGAACTATGATATCTATCTTTTCCAATACTTTATCCAGTAGTATACATAGTTGATCCCAGTACTTATGAATCGTTCTTATGTTTAAATGTACAATGCACAAATCACCCTCAGTCTCCTTTTCACCTATCCATTCTTCACATGTTGAAACTTCTAAAACATCATTAATATTCCAATCGTCCACAACAAAGTCCGTATTCATAGCCATTTTATTTTTCCAGTTGTATTACACAAGTGCAACACCAAGGAGACAAATTACCTTATTGCTTCGAGGTTTTCCTCCGTCACAATCTTCACAACTGGAGAGTTTTCACCTTTCCTAGCAAACAGTTTTCCATCAGACGAGGGGGGGGGGGAATCGACTTTGGTTTGGGTAGGTTACTGGAGATGAAATCAACGAAATTTAACGTCAGTCAATGGGTCAGCCACCAGACTGATTTCGGGTTGCTCTGTCTCTCTCGCACTCATGGGGCGTCCCCTATGGGTGCGAGAGAGACGGAAACGACTCTCGGAATCAGTCTGCAGTAGTTTCAGCAGGCGGTCGCCGCAGGCCTAACCAACGGCGGTGGCGCCCCACAGTGGGCCAGTAGTCCGTGGAGGCGGCCAAAACTCTAGACGCGTTTTGAGCTCCAGAGTAGCTTAATGGGACTCGAACCGAACGTGTGACCCCACCAATGGATTGCTCTCCGAACGAGGAATCCATTGGTGGGGTCACACCCCTGGGTGAGGCGCCCATGGGCGACCAATGGTCCGTCCATACTGCAACCTTAGACACCCATGGTGAATCCATTGGTGCCTATGGTCGTGAAGGGGTGACCATGGTCGATCCGTGGACAGGCCATGGACAATCCATGGTTGGCCCATGGGTCATCCATTACAAATGGACAACCAATGGTCATCCTCAGACGGTCCATGGACGGCCAATTGACAATGACTTCCTCGTGCATCTAAGTCTCCAAGTAATTTTCACAAAGTCCTTTTAACTTTTGAACCGTTAGTCCGAAACAAAATCTGAATTTAGAATTGAGTGAAGCGTGAAAAGTTCATGTAGAGCCCACCATGTTATTCTGACTTGGAAAGACTGCTTAATAGTGGGAGGACTTTGCCAGAGCAATATGCAGCCAGTGTGGACCCTCCATGGGCCGTCCATGGGCCGTCCATGGACTGTCCATAGATATCCGCTTTCAATTTCCCATGGACCGCCCATGGATCGCCCATGGGCGCCTCACCCAGGGACGTTCGGTTCGAGTCCTGTTCAGCGGCTCTGGAGCTCAAAACGCGTCTAGAGTTTTCAGCCGCCTCCACCGGTCCTCTGGCCCACTGTGCGCCCTGCGGTGCGAGAGAGACATATGCCCCTTCGCGCAGGGCGTTGGGTACGCGCACAGAGCTCGGCTCGCCGCACTAACCAGGCCTAACCAGGCCTCAGCAGGCCCGCGCAAAGCACGTATTAATAGTGTGGCGGCGAGGCCTCGTGTGTAGCAGCAGACTGATTCCGAGGGTCGTTTTCGTCGCTCTGTCTCCCTCGCACTCTTGGGGCGCCCCGAGTAGGTGTAAGAGAGACAGAGCAACGGTCACGACTCTTGGAATCAGTATGCAGTTGGCCAACCTGTCCGACAGTCGCTAAAGGGGCCTCGAACCGAACGGGTGACCACACCAATGGATTGCTCTCCGAACGAGGGATCCATTGGTGGGGTCATACGCTCGATTCGAGTCCCATTCAGCGACTCTGGAGCTCAAAAGGCGTCGATAGTTATGGCCGCCTCCACCGGTCTTCTGGCCCACTGTGGGGCCGCTCCAAGTTTATTTAGGGTACAACGTGAGAGACGCGATTGGCGGCGTGAATTCCATTCGCTAACGAAGTAACGGCGAGGGCGTTTGTTGGGGCGGAGGCGCATCCCCCGGCGACTGTCCCGCCGCGGCGCCGCCTCCGACGAATTATTTTTCTGTTGCGCGCCACTCCGCCACTCCGGCACTCCGCAGTGTGGGGAGGGAGGAGGAGGGGAGGGGAGGGGGGAGGAAAGGGGGGGAGGGGAGGGAAGGGAGGGGGGAGAGCAGGAGGGGAGGGGGTCGCGGCGGTGGCTCGGCGGGGCCTCTCGTTGCCCCCACGGTCTTTCATTATTGTGCAGTTGTGCAGGCGGCTGGATTGCGAGCGCTCTCTCGCGCTCGTGGGGCGTCTCGCGTGAGAGAGAGAGAGAGAGAGAGAGAGAGAGAGAGAGAGAGAGAGAGAGAGAGAGAGAGAGGCGAGTGCGCCGCGGGCCCCGCCCAGTCCCAGAGTAAGGACCGTCGCAGCGTCCCCGCCGAATCCGTCACCTTTGCGAGACGTATCCAAGCCGTCGCGCTGAGCGAGAGAGAGAGAGAGATAGAGAGAGAGAAGCCTTCAGGATTCGGCAGGCCAGCCCTCCCCGCCTGCCCCGAAGCTTAGGTTGTCACTGTTGCCGGTAAAGTTGTTCCGAACTGCGCCGATGTCGCTTTGATACGGGGGGTCCGGGGGTTCCTTCCTGGCGGGGCCCTGGCGGGGCCCTGGCGGGGCTCTGGCCCCGGCACCGTCTTGGCGAGACAAACTATAAACCGGCCGAAAGTGATTCAATGCCGTACGAAGAGTTACGATCACCACCAGTCATTTTTGATGAGTTTCCCGGGCCGAGTTTCGCTAGCCCACATTTCGCACACCCGGTTTCTCGACCGATCACCCTCTCCCTCATCTATCCCCCCTCCTCTCTCTCTCTCTCCCTCTCTCTCTCTCTCTCTCTCTCTCCCTCTCTCTCTCTTTCTCTCTCTCTCTTTCTCTCTCTCTCTCTCCCTCTCCCTCTCCCTCCCTCCCCCCTGGCCGTTCCGCCTGGTTCCGGCCCTGCGTCCCTTCCACTCTGGCAGGCCGGAAATGCGAGTCAGATTAGCGTTGTATGGGTCAGACCGTCAGACCGGTCGGACAGATGAAGCTTGGCCTGCTTGGCCGTCTCCCTGTCACTCGATCCGTGCCCGTCCGAAATTGTTATCAAAACGGGGAGGGGCGAGGGGTGAGAGAGAGAGAGAGAGAGAGAGAGAGAGAGAGAGAGAGAGAGAGAGAGAGAGAGAGAGAGGAGCCCCCTGAGGGTGAGGTAGGGCGTGGGGGGGACATTGGCTGGTGGTGTGAAAGTGCTCGGCTCGAAATTCCCAGTGCTCCTCCCCCTCCTCTCTTCCCCTCCCCTCTCCTCTCTCCTCCCCCTCCCCTCCCTCCCCGACCCTCCCAAGGGACTGCAAGGGGCACGGGGGTCTACCTCCCAGGCGTTTGTCGGGAGCAGAGCGGAGCAGGCGGCGTCGCGGAGAGTGGAACTCGGAGCGAGAGGATTCGGGGGGCCTGCGGGCAAAAGCGGCGAAAGCGTGTCTCTCGACGACGCCCCGCCGTCTTTAGCAGTGTCGTGTATTTGCCCGCACTCATCCCGCGCGTCTCCATCACGCACACACGCACGCACACACACACGCACGCACACACACACACACACACACACACGCACACGCACACTCGACGATAGGGTCGGGCCGGCGCGTGGGGACCCATCTGTCAACTTGATCTGTGCCCCTTCCTTCCCGATGCCCGGCCGCGCGGCCGCGCCCGGCCCCAAGTGTGTGTTCTGTCCTTGTCGAAAGACAGCAGTCCGGGGGGGGGGGGGGGGAAGGAGAGAGAGAGAGAGAGAGAGAGAGGAGCGGGCATCCCTCGGTCCATCTGATTGAATCCCCGTGTCTCGCGTGAGCCGCCAGGCCATCCGTTGGATCGTGATCCCGGCCCCCCCCCGCTCTCTCTCTCGCGCGCGCGCGCGCGGTGTGTGTGTGTGTGTCTGCGGTTACACGCGTGGTTGCATGTGTTCGTGTCTGTGCTCGTTTTTGGGTGGAATGGGAATTCTGTACCCTCGGGTGTTGCCTGTCGTTCACCCGTTCGTGATGTTCTTTTCCCCGTTCTCGTTAAATATGGGTCCCGATTGGCGTTCAGTGGTACTGCGTTGCAGTGTGATGGGGCTGCGTGTGCGTGGGTGTGTGTCTGTGTGTGTGTGTGTGTGTGTGCGTGAGTGTGAGTGTGTGTGTGTGTGTGTGTGTGTGTGTGTGTGCGTGTGTGTATGCGTTCGCTGATTTCGATGTCCGGCATGCAGGTCAGGCCTCTCCAAGTGAAGTGCGCGTACTCTCTGCATCGAGTGGAACTCATTAAAGACAATAAGGGCTTTTGTTGGGGATGAAGGGGATGAAGGGGAGGGGGTAGAATGTAAGGGGGAGGGGGAAAGGGGGAGGGGGAAAGGGGGAGGGGAGGGGGAATGGGGGCCGAGGGGCAGATGGGTCGCGAACCCGCCCCTCAAGCGTACATTAAAGATAGGGCAGGCGCGAGCACCCTGGCACAAGCCCTGGCACGGCAGAGAGGGGCCAAAGTCGATGAAAAATCTCCGAAATCAATGTAACGTAATGAAGCTGAATGAAGCGAAATGAGCCCCCAATTGATTGGGCCTCGCGGAGCCGCAGGTATGAATAATACCCGGTGATTAATCGGTTTGTCATTAGACGCGAGTGTCGGTCGCGTTAATGGAATTCGCCCTCGAGTGCCTCCGCGACTTGCCGCCCGGCAGGAGTCGTCGCTCTGTCTCTCTCGCACCCATAGGCACGCCCCATGAGTGCGAGAGAGACAGAGCGACGACGCTCGGAATCAGAGTGCAGGCTTTGCCGCCCATTGTGTTCACCGGCGTGTCGGCTGCAAAATGCGACCCAATAATACGAGAGACGAGTGTGGGTCCGAGGCGTGCGGCGCAGCTCCCCCCCCCACACACACACGCGTGCACCAACACACACACACACACGTACACGCACACAATCGCGCAGCCTCGGCAGCAACAGCACAGCAGCGGCGATGGGGTGGGTTGTCTGAGTCCCCCTTCCCCCTCCTCCAGCGCCCCCCACCCCTGCGTTCGGATGATCGATCCATCCGCCACAGTGGTGCTGCGCGTCTCTCTCTCTCTCTCTCTCTCTCTCTCTCTCTCTCTCTCTCGCTCGCTCTCTCTCTCTCCCCTCTCTCTCTCTCTCTCTCTCTCTCTCTCTCTCTCTCTGCCTCTGTCTCTCGCTCTCTCGCTCTCGCGCCCGGCGCCGACCCCCCGCGCGAGAGAGACTGAGGCCGGGGCGGGGGGTGGCGGTCCAGGGTGGTCGCAGCCTCCTAACCCCGTTTCAACCCTTGCGGCGCGGTGGGGGCGGCGGGGT